CAGCTTTGCATCAGGAGTCATAAGAGGAGAGCCATGGTCAAAACCGGATTCAGAATCTCCGAATCCCTGCACCGGAATCACAGATGGCATAATCTTATGTGCTTCTTTTGTCAAGTGAACATAGCACCCAGCCAGTGATCGATACATCCGGTAAAATTCCTCAATCAACTCTGGCTTCCCCTGACTATAATGTTCAACAGTTTTTGGCAAAGAATCACCATCTTCTTTGATCAGCTTTAGCATTTGCTTAATGCTCTGGCCCATCTCTGTAAGTAACAACATTTTGAACATTTTATTAGGCCAACCCATCACAGAATTATTAGAGTCTGAAACAATCTGTACAAATAATCAGAAAGACAAAGTACAAGAAGCAAGATAAGCAAGAAAATAGCTATTTACTTACCTTCAAGATTTTCTACCAGCCATATAGAACTTTCTGGATTATTAGTATTGTCCTGCCCACATGAATCTGACTTCTCCATTTCTGTTCTCTCCATATCAACCATCTACTGACATCAAATGACATAAACCACACAACATAAGACCTCAAATAAAACAAGGAAAGTAATGGGTTTCTGTAATACAGTACCACTTAGAGAACCAGACTCTCGATGGCATCAATAACCAAACAATTAGTGGTTTTGATAACCATAATAACAGAAGGAATTAAAGTGAAATTGGATAAGAAAAGAAAAAGAACACAGAAACCCCATGCCCTGTTTTCTTTGGAAGTGACAACAAAAGCAATAACATAGCAACACGATTCAATTGTCTTGGGAAATTTTCTCCGGAAGAAATCAAGAATTTCTAGTTCAATTTCTTATTGAAATACATAATGATCACATGACGATCAATTATCAATATATATAATTTGACATACACCGACAGGAAAAAGATGATAAATCTGATCCAAAATTAAGAATTTCTAAATACTTCTACTAATTCTTGAGAAGACCAAACAAAAAAAATACACAAGCATGAAAATTCAAGAAATTAAAACAAAAGGCGAGTCTTGAAAAGCATAATCTGCATGTAATCGATTTCTATTAAAAGAAAAGCATGAAGGAGAAGTGAAGAGCAACATAGAAGACCGAGCTCACTGACCTTTTGGTGTTTTGACAGAGTGAGGTGAAGTGAGGTGAGGTGAGGTGAGATGAGGTGAGAGAGAGCCTCCAGATCCAACGCAACCCTAAATCAAATGGATAAGTGATTAATCATTAAGTGCTTTTGAGCATTTTAAGCAACCCAAGCTTTTTTCAAAATTCAAATAGATTCAAGGGATTGGTTCAGGACAACGAGAAAAAGGCTGAGAGGGAAATGGCTCAAAATTGTTGCCCGCCCTTTCTCTCTCAATTTCTCTCTCCCCAAAACGCCCTCCCACCCACCGGCCCCAACCTTTGTTTTCAATCCCTTGTTGCCTCGTGGAACTGATTTCCAGCAATGGGTATTTTCGTAACTTCGACTTATACCCAATAATTAAGCGCCCCAGGGGTGGGGCCACGACCCATGACTGAACCGGCCTCATGCCGGTCCTGCCTGCCATGCCAGCGGAACAACCAAGATTTCTAGCGGGAAAACATTTCCAATCCAAGATAAGAAAATAAATAATATTAATATATCAGGGTATGATAACTAGATTTAAATTCGTGGTATATTTCTATAATAAATAAAAAGAATTTATAACTTAAGGATTTTGAAATCTTTCTTTTTAATTTCATACCACTCTATTTTTCTTTTTCTTTTATTTCATAATATTCTGCTTATCAAGCTATTTCTTTTGGAATTTTATATTAGTCTTTATTCAAAACATATGACCCATATGTTTTATTTAATTTCATATGTTCCGTTCTCTTAGACTCCTGGCATCCAAGAGACTCGTGATCACCTATACTTATATTATATCTAATTAAAAGTTTAAAATAAATAAATTAAAATCTATTTTCTTTTACTTTTACTGCATAACATATTAATTTAACTTAAACAAAAAAAATAAAAAAGAGTCTGAGGTGCTGCGGCGGCCAACAATGGGAGAAAGAAGAACATAGATTTTTGGGTTAGAACGTGTTTTACTGTGAGACTTTTTTATTTATTATTATTTAAGTTAAATTAATCTTCTTCTTTTTTTCGTTGCAGTCCCTGTCCCCAATGTTGCCACTAAAATGTGAAGCCATCCTTTCAAGCCATCAATCTGATAGGGGAATACTAGCAACCTTCTCTCTAACCTTCTCTTTTGGATATTCTCCTTTCTCCTCATGACTTGTGTCATTTTCTCTACACTTAAGACAATGACATTAATGCATTAGACAATATATCTTTTGCTAGCATTCCTCTCAAAGATATGAGTAAAAGACTTTCCATATTTCACTTCAGTTCCCCAAAACCCCATTTGTGTTTGGCAAAGAAAACAATAAGAGCTCGCTTAAAGAATTTTCATAAAACCCTAGAAGAAACCGTTTGCTACTTCTCTGTTCTTAAATTCAGATAATATTTATGCAAATTTCTCTAACAAAAATAAATAAAGAAGCTAATATTGCCCGTTTCAATATGCGAGCTTGGTTTGACCAAGAAAAAGAATATGTGGGCTTGGTTAATGTATTACTTTCCTCATGGGCCACATCGGCCCACCATTTACAATGTCCTTTATAGCCTGCTAGATGTGAGGATGAGCAGTTGGGGGTAACCCGTGTCGCGAACGGCAAATGGAGGGTTTCATAGAGGCACTAGAATAGTGTGGAATGCATGACTCGAGTTTTGTGGGCTATAAGTATACGTGGCGTAGTCATCAACCATGTGATATTCGAGTACGACTGGATAGAGCAATCGCGGCCCAGGCATGGCGTGACCTCTTTCCTCATGTGGTAGTTCGTCATCTTCCTCATAGCAACTTTGATACTGTTCCTCTTCTAGTGAGTATTCGGGGGGTATTTACTAAGGGCCAGTTTGGCATTGCTGTGCTGTGAAAATAATCGATGTCAGATTTGCTGTGAGAGAAATCAGCTGTGAGAGAAAGCAGTTTGGCATTTGGTAAACTTTTTGTTATAAGTTCTGTTTGTACAATAATCAGTTTCTGAGTGTTTGGTAAATTTTTTTGTGAAAGTGCTGTGAGCAGTGTATAATGACTAAAAAGGGCATTATCTTGAATTGGCTTTTCTGTTTAAGTTTGGTAAAAGGAGGAAAGCACTTTTATTTTATCTTATATATAAATTTTTTTTTTTTTGATATTAAATATGTTTCCATCACACGCTAAATATTGTTTTAATTATAAAATAAATAAAGTTTCCATTGAAAACAAATATATTGTAAAAAATATGTTCATAACAAAAACTAAGCTAGTCATGAACAAGCAATCATATACATTTCTATGTAGATGAACTCATTAAACTTGCGGCTATATGATTTCTCAATACCTCCATTTCTTGTGTTGCAGGACCATCTTCTTGTTGTGCATCAACCTCTATCTCAATTTCTTCACCTTGAATACCATTTAGGTCATCTTCACTTTCATCAAAATGACAATCAC